CTTCTTTGAAGTATCTGCAAAGATTTGTTTTCAAACACCCCCCCCCCCTTTTTTTTTTCCATTTCCAGGGTCTATCTTCAAATAGTTCCTTCCAGACTGCTAACCGTAGGGTGTATCAAGGCTATCACTGATGCCCCTTTGTACTCAACCTTGTAGACAAGATACAAAGAAAAGTTCTGCCTACGATGAGGTGAAGTACACAGCATCTGCACTTTACCTTTCTATTATGAATACTTATCACAGACAGAAGATATACCTTCTGATTACTTATGAGAAAATTGCTTTCTGCATTTTTTCTCAAGTGTGAGAAAACCACTTTCTGAAAACCTTGTCCTACTTCTAAGTTCTCTGAAAATCAAAATAATGAGTTACTCAAACTTATGTCTAAAAACCCAGGGTGAAAAAAACCCCACAATTTCCAGAGTTTGTTCACAATTTTAAAAAATCTTATCTAATGAATACAAATCATTGTGATAAAAAACAATTATATAGATACCTAGTCCTGAGAATGATGACAGATTTGCACCTCTTCTATCCCATCCTCTTTTTCTTTTCCAGCTTATTTCCTTTCCTAACTACATACATGTAACTATACTTAGCACATTACAGAGGTCAACTGGACATTTTCACAGTGATGCCTTCTCTCTTTCAAAGAGCAACAAGTGTACTGCGTGTCAGGAACAGCTCTTCAGTTGTTTGCAGTCAGACATATAATCTACTAAAATGCTGGATTTTAGTCCTTCTCTCCCCACTCTGTCTTGTAAGGTAACTTCGTTTGAGATCCTACATAAGTAAAACCTGTTTCTGTACCTGCTTGAGACTGAACTACTGTCCTTGGTATTCTTTTTGTCAAGGTTAGGTTTGTCTCTGGAGCAAGAAACTACTCTCCCAATTAAAATTTTTCTAAGTCTTTGCATAAGTAAGGAAATACGATTCTTACGGTTACTTGTCATGCAGCATTTTGTTGATCAATATAAAGGTCTATGAATTTCTAAAGTAGCCCAGTAGGTATTAAGTTAAGATAGGAGAGCTATCTAAGATTTATTACCCACTCAGAACAGGTCTAAAACAATGTTTCCACAGAATATCCTTTCCACTTGGGAAGAACCCACTGCTGCTCCTTTTGTCTTCTATTAGACTTAAATTTTAGTTGAAGAACAACCTGGAAGACCGCACTGTAACTTATTAATTTTTTTATTACAAAAGAGGGACAAGGGCTTAATTTACCAGCAATGCTAGAACAAAATCTCAAGCTTAACACATACTGGGAGAACAAACCTGTCTGGGTAGCCAGTCTCAGGTCTAGGAGCCCGCAAGACCATAGAGCCTTCCTTACCTCTAGGCAGGCCTTTCAGTTTGCACCAGGTCCCATGAATTCCTGACTAGCAGTTTTGCTTTTCAAGTTCGTGGCACAGTTCTAGCCCCAAATTTGTTTTTGACAAAACTCTTACTTTAGGAGAACCCGTGTCTCAGCTTGGGAGTGCAGAAAAGGAGGGCAGGATTTCACCTCTCAAGATCTGTACTGTAACCTAAGCACAAAATGTGAAATACAACAAACTTCTGACCTCGGTCTTTATAGCCTGGTCATCGCTACTTTCATTTTTTCCCTGCTCATTTTTCAAAGGAATTAAGTAAAAGCCACATCAAAAAAACTTTAAACCAGTCATGAAATATCAAATTGTAATTCCTACAGCAAACATGACTAAACTGTTACACATAAATACATTAAAGTTAGTCCCACCCAGTGATCTACAAGGTGCTATTTCTGCTGACAAAACAGTCGAGTCATAACTGTCCTCAGGGTATTAAACTGAAGTTCATCCATTTTGGTGCATTTACAATTTTGGCTTCTGAGCACTACTGCTAGTACCTTCAGATCTAATAACATGAGGAGAATTACAAAAAGAGAATGTCTAAATGATTGCAACTGTGACCTTATAGATGAATTATCAGAAGCACCAAGCACAAGAAGCAAGTGGCTTACAAAGCACAGATCCACACTAAAACTCTTCAACTATTAAACAATTAAGCCCTACATTCCTAATCAACACACTGAGGAGCTGTGCTTACTAGTTACTATCCTCATTGACTGAAAACTGGACTCAGGAGAGGAAAAGGAGGAGGCTAAAAGACACTCAAAAGTGTGGCAGATTCTAGAGGGGTCAAACCACGTCGTGTCTCCTCGATGCACCCCTGCCCCTGGTCAGAACAAGTCTGCAGGGAGTAAGATCAGATTGGTTTTGCATTCTTTCAGCTCCCAGTGAAGAGGAATTGGACAGTTCTTATAAACCCTCTTCAGAGTTAAAATACAACCACCTCACCACTGCCAACTTTCCAGCCAGCCAGGGAAGTGCTTCATCCCCACCGGAAGGAGCCGCTAGAGAATGAGCTAAAGCTGTTTAGTACAAAGTGCTGGGCTACATTGCCTTCAACAGCCTTCCCAGCCCTTTCCCCATCTCTGATCCTCCACAGAAGAAGTTATGCTGACACCAGACTGACAAAATAGCTATTGCCCTACATCTTTAAGAGGTGTGGATAATACACGTTCCTAGAGGGCCAGCGATACCACCCCTCCGGCATTACCAGCACCCTTGACAGCTGAAGTTAAAACTTTGCGTAACTCCCCTGACAGCCTTTATCAGGCCCCAGGGATCCTCTGCAGGCTGGCAGGCACTTTGGGCACTCCCGCTTAGGGGAAGTATGGCGTGGGTGAGCGCTGCGCCAGGTCCTGCTGCAGGTGGTCGGGCTGCGCTGCTGCAGCTGCCTAGCAACAGATGTTTCTGTACGCCCATCAGGAGAGGGTCAGCAAGGCCAGAGATAAAACCAACAGTGATTTTCCACTGCTTTGCTGCTGGATAGGAACCCTATAAACCCTCTACAGTAAGTCAGTTTCTAAGAAAGGATTCTGTCTGAGAATTAACCAGCATAAACTAGATATTAGATCCAGCCTTTTGACAGGAAGGTAAGCTCACTTGAAAAGCCTCCTAGCTTATAGCTGTGGTTAAAACAAACCACCTTCCAGGTTGGAAAAACGGAAGATTTCTCCTTCTAAGAATCAGTTATGCAATGGACTCTGAAGGAAAAAGAAACTCTGGGAAAAAGGGCTGGAAAGCAAAATTCAAATCATTAGTTCAGTCAAATGTTTCTACAGAAATAGACTAAAGCTCTGTAGAAGCTCAAGTATGTAAGCGAAACTTCATGTAATTGTAAAAGTGTAATGAGCAGATTATATTCACGCTAATTAGATAATCAAGTTCAAAGCCTCAGCAGCACATAGGAAATGCAAAAAGGTTTCATTTTAGATACTCAACACTGAAAATTTGTGGAGCACAAATCAAATCTGCAATGCATAAGAGGCTGTGCTGCTTTGACCCACATAAATTTCTCTCCTTGCCTCTGCTGTTTGGCAGCTGTGGTCTGCCTTTCCAGCCCTCTGTGGTGTGAGAAAAAGGACTTATATTAAGCTCAACTTTAGTCCAGTCTTTCTAGTGCTCACATTACAAAGTTGGGTGTGCATTTATATTTTTTGTTTACCTGTAACCATACCTCTTTCTCTCTCTCTCTCTCTCTCTTACCACCCCCACCTCCTCCAGACACTCACACTCCCAGAGGGGAGTGCAAACAGGGCCAGAATTCGTCCTTTGGTGATTCAGAAAAATTTTGAGAAGTTCCAAGAAAAAAAGCAAGAGACGGGGCACTATGAAATCTACAGAGATGAAGAATATTAAAAGTAGGAAGGGATAACCTGAGCTCACTAAGAGAGAGTCTGAGCCCCCATATATAATTGAAATTATACCTTAAGTATAAGAAAGCATAGCCCAAGCCATCCACTTTGCTATTTTCACAATTAAATTAAGGACCCTAACAATCCTGCCACAGAAAAGTCTGTCCTCTGTAAACATTTAACTAGGTAAGATCACAGTCCCAGCTGCTGCCCATATTTCTGTAAAAAGAACATCACTGTCTTTGCTGCATGGCAGACTTATCAGTAGCAGATACCATGCAAGGCCTCAAAGAGATAACAGACATATTATCAGCAGTGAGTGCGAGACTCTTTCTTGTGAAAGCCATTTTTTTTTCAGCAAGCTCTCCAGACATCCCACTTGAGGTGTGAAAGGCCTGGAAACTGCTACGGCCACTTCTGCTGTTTCCATTTCAGCTATCCACAGAGAAGTGATTAAAATGTTGCAGTGTGTTCTGCATCTTACTAAGAAAAATCTCAGTGGTCTCACACAGCAATATTTATTCTGCACTCAAAAATACTGTTGCAGTGCCAAAGCCAAAATATTTTACTGCCCTCACTGCTCCTACACATGCTCCTGTATCTAAGTACAGGACACAAAAGTGAGATTATTTTTGCATGGTAACAGCTGGGCATTAAACATTTCCAATACTCATATTGTGAGCTCACAGGGCATTCTCCAGCACAGAAAGCATCATGGAGTCCAACAAATGCTTTAGGTCGTTGGCTCACTTTCATAGAGTAAACAAGCCTTTTCTACTTTCCATCCCCATTCCACTCAGTAGAACAAGATTCCTATCAGCACAAAGCTCCCTTTGTGAGTAGTTTTAATGTAACGTGTTACTGCATGAGTGGAAGGCTCTGCAGTACAGCTGGGTGTCCTGCTTTCACTCTGCCACAAGGATGCTAACCTCCAGCAGATGAGCGTGGTGGGCAGACAGATGCAAGGACATGGTAAACTGTCAGAGTAAGATTCACCAAGTCTCATATACACTTTTATCCTTCTTTTTCTCACCTCTCCCTTCTTATTCTGAAATTAACAAGTATCCACATGGAAAGCACATGACCCACTCTTCATGGAACTGAACTGCAGAAATACTAAAGGTGTATGAAAGACAACGTATCTGCATACTTTTGCAGGTACTAAGAAATATACCCTGTGCTCCTGCAGTCTCATTCTCCTAAAAAAGGGCACAGAAATGACCATGGATACAGTGAAGCACACATTGCTTTCACCTCCACTATCTGCATTGCTTACCTTCATTAACTGCATGAGGCTTAATAATGCAACAAGTACAGTTTGTGAATTTTGCACTGTTGACTGGTCCGCGACCTCCACTGGAGGGAAAGAACAACTCCAGTTCCTGAAAACAATTGTAAGGGAATACATTTTAGATTGATCTAGCTTCACACATCAGTTTTTGTCATAAGTAACAACATCTGAAGTATCAACATTTGCAGAAGATAAACCTTAATTATAGATTTTTTGTGCTACAAATACTTTTTCCCTGTAATATTCTCTCAAATATATCTTTCCCTCTCTGGCACCATTCCTACAATCATAAAAACATTATTTGAATATTTCTTGCAATGTCTTTCTTATCACTTCTGCAATGCAATCCATTTCCATACAGAGCAATCAAAATGCTGCTGCCACAATCATTTGGTAGAGGTTATTCCAGTTTTCTGAATTATCTCTCTCTTTCCTCAGTATCTTTCCCAAATACACTCCCATATACACATATTTTTTCTTCCCTCTTTTCACATCATCTTTTCCACTATATGAGCAAAAATGCAACTACCATCCATTTTGCAGTATGTTTTGTTTCCATATACAAAACTGACCTCAATCCCATTTGTTTACCGTTTTTTCCCTTTTGTCTTAAACAACTAAACTTCGTCTAAAAATGTTGACTCACTCTTCAAGCCTTATTGATCCTATTTTTTTTTTTAATCTTACTGAATTGAAGCTGATGTACTCAATTGCTCAGATTTCTGGGATGAATCAAAAGAACATTCTTTGCCTCTGATCACTTTCTTCTCACCATCACGACTCAGGTATCATATAGCTTGGGTCTTTGACCATACTGGGGTGAGCTTGACAGCCAGATTTCTTTCCTCAGTGATATTTTTTAACTGTTTGCTGCCAGCTTCACATTTTTCCATACCATTTATTCACATATGTTACACACTCTGCCAATTAACATTAGTCAGATGCTCAAAACACAGATTCCATTTCAGACCTATTGGTCAAATTCAGTAAGAGAATTGAAAAATTTCTATTTAAGGGAAATAAAATTATCCTGAAAAAACTAGTACCAAATCCATCTCATTTTTTTTTTCCCATGTAACAGTAGCAGTGCTAAAGGCCATTTCCTGGAATTGTCTCATTTAATTTACTAGCTTAATTCAGATGGAATAGAGTTAGCTATCTCCCAGTCTTTAGCTCATGGCACTCTGACAATTCCTGTAACCCTTACTTGAACAATTATGTAATTTAAACTAATGGATCTTTCAATAGAAGGGAAAACGGGTTTTGTTTTTCTCCTAGTAAATAATCCACATTTTAAGTGGGCATATCTTGGACAAAAGGGTTCATTTCCTACATCTTTCTACTGATAAAATGTTGCATGCTTCAAAGACCTTGTCCCACTCTGTTAACTAATGTTTAGTCTAAAAGAAGCAGCCAGGAAAAAGCAGCAAAATATCTACAATATTTAACACTTTGTTTTATCCATTAAAAGTCATAAAAGGGGAGTAACTAAATAATGCTGAAAGACTAGGATAATGAAATGCCAAACTACAACCAAGTGGAGCCTCAAAAAGAAAATTCTTTTCCTTTCCCTTTATTCCTGATCTAAAGAAATTCCAAAATTTGTCCTGCAGAGAGACGCCAGCTTGCAGTACACCAGAGGCATACTTCCACTTGTCATTTATCCCCCAAGAGAACAATGCAGTCTTCCACTCTAACTATTCAGTTTACAATACATTCATTAAATGTGGTTGAGACTTGAAGAGTTCGTTTAGGTCCCTTTATCTTATATTTCTTTCTTTTCAGCAAAGCTTCTGCAAGGTGCCGCCAACTAGTTTCCATGGCAACTGCTATACAGCCATATAATACTGGGCCTACTAAATTAAAATAGGCACAGGGGTATTAAATTCACAATTTTGCTTGATTTATTGAAGATTGATATCAGTAACACCACAAAGATGCACACACCCACAAAAGTTCAGCAAAATAATTCCACAGTCATAAAAATGCTGCAGATGAATGGAGCCTTCAAACACCATTTCAAAAATAACAAAGTGCAAACAGAACAACAAACTTCAGCCAAAGCACATACTTATGCTTCTAATCAAAATTTTATGCTAATAGATACTCTTTCCTACATGCTCAGTTCAAAAGCTGGCACAGTTGTCATGGCAGTACACAGGCACTTTCATCCTCATGTATGAAGACATCTAGCTATGTAAACAGAACTACAAAGACTTTTCTGACTATAATTCTCCTTCATCAGAAAAGATCAACTTCATCCGAACTTCATCTTTCTGACTCTGTACTACCTTCATCAAGTCTGCCAGCAGAAAAAGTACTTCAGATCCAGCTATGACTTCTTGTCAAAGCCAGAGGCACACAGAGAGGATCCAGCCAGCCCAGGCATGGTGCAGATAAGCGAGATGAGCGCTTGACCAGCAGAGAACTGGCCACACTTTGCAGCTAGCTTGCTACACCACGCAGCCTAATAGCCAGCCAGAGGAAGAGGCTGACTAACTCTGCCCTCACCACCAGGATATAATCTCTGCATATATTTTCTAGCATACAGCACTTGGCATCTTATTAGGTATTCCAGAGCAGGTCTCTCTCCAGCTGTGCTATCGCAGCTGTTCCAACTTAAGTAGAGGGAAGACTAGGATCAAGGAAGCAACAGCTGGTATCTTTTCCCCGCTGGTCTAGAGCTAAGATACCACAGTGTAATACCAATCTTTATCAACATATCTACCCCACAATAACGCACACAAATAGTCACCTCAATTCTGCAGAAATGCGGGTCATATCTATCACTCAGTCCCAGGGCTTTTTCTTAGCACTAAGGAAAGACACTGCAAACAAAGCAGAAGAGAACCAAACGCCTCAAAGCCAAGCCCACTGCATTACCTCTCAAAACACAAAGCACTACAAAGTGGCCTGTTTTCATATTTATTCATTCTGAACAATAAGAGCAGAGGAAAGTAGGCTGCAGGCAGAGGACTAGTGAGGACTGTGGAGGAGAACAGATTAGCAAAACCCAGGAGGGCACAAAAGGATTTAATTGTTTAATCCCCTTCTTTTTATGACTGACATTGGTAGGCTATAGGTAGATTACGCAGACTATCCAATTAAGTCAATGTCTGTGATGTACAGACAACATTAAAAATGACCAGGCATGCTCTCCTGATCAAAGTGCCCAAGGTTCCCCTTTGTGACAGAGATAAACAAGATTTCTGAAGAATAGCTAAACTAGTTCTGAACTCAAATGGAGAAAAAATGAGGAATTCCTGACCCAGCTGTTACCAGATAAAGTAAAAATAAACCTCAGTCAACAGTCAAAAACTTACTTGAGCAGCTGAAGCAACCGAATCTGGGCCATGAGCTGCATTTCTTAGGCCATCATGTCCGAAGTTTGCTCTAATGCTGTCTGGTGCATCAGTCTGAGCCACTGCAGAGTTTGCTGGCCCCAGTAATGTTTTCCATTTACAAACTGCATCATCTCCTAAGATTTCCATAGCAACAATGGGACCACTCGTTATAAACTGGAGAAGCTCACTGCAAAATGGAAACAGCACATAGTGATCCAGGCTATAAATTAAAACCAACAAAAATATATGATCCAGTGGAGACGCTCAGAACTCAATTTGGCAAGGCCTTGAGCAACCTGATCTAACTTTGAAGTTGGCTCTGCTTTGAGAAGGAGTTTGGACTAGGTCATGTGCAGATGTTCCCTTCTTATTATGGTTGTAGAAAAAGAACCAGATAATACAAACTCACTCAAGCTACTTTTAAAAGATCAGTACTGGCAACAGTGAAAGAGACCCTGACAACCATTTGTCTGACAGGAACGATTGCTAAGCATGTCTCCTCTGCACCGCAGGATTTCAGGATTCTCCCACACAACCTGTGTGTGTTCTCTACTGACACAACTTCAGCACCACTGTCAGGACGGATTGTTCCACTGCCCCGTGAATCTCTCCCGTGGATTTTGCCCAGTGAAAATCCAAAGTGAAAGAGAAGGGAGAAGCAAGATTTGGAAAGTTTGAGGGGGAGAGGGGACTTAACCACAAAGTGAGTTATCACATCCTGGCATAAGCAGAAGTCAACTGATTTTGATGGGATGAATCTGAGTAAGGAGAAGAGATTGTCAGGAGCAGCCTGTCTCCTGTCCTGACCACCTCGCTTTCACAGAAAACAACCACCCAAAATTGGAAACTCAAATGTTCTATTTAAAAACTAAACAAAACACCATAACTATAATTCTATATCTTTACAAAACATGCATACCAACAAGCCTGCTTTTTCACTGTGTAGTCTGGACAGAACCAACAAAGGAGAAAGTTGACTCAATGCTTTTCATACTACTTGCTCAAAAAAAGAGCTTTACACAATTATGATTGTGGATGTGTATGCTTCTCCAACGATGTTATTTCTAATGATCATTTATGCAATGACCAGTGGGCAAGAAGAGAAATCCTACTAGTTCTTTGCTAAAGAAATTATATTAAAACTATGAAAAGTTACATAAACATAAAGGAACTACACAGGGAAGAGCTATGGGAACTCAGGTTCTGTTGGTCAGAGGCTGCTTGTTTAGGATACAGTTAAGTGGCTTACACATACATACACCCAAGAAAAAAAGCAATTTCCACAACACTGCTTACTGTGCAGACTAATCCTGAATATTAAATACATCTTGAAAATTAAATTCTTTAATATGAAAAACTTTCGTTTCCAACCAAGCAGAATTGTTATTTTTCCCTACTATTCACTAGACTACATTGACTAGTGAACTTGCAAACTAAATCTGCATTTAAAGACAAGTAATACAACACTAAATATAAATGAGTCAGAGATTTAACATTTCACTGCCTTGGAAATTCTTGTTCTATTTGACTTGTAATGCTTTATAACTATTTGTTTCTAATTTAGAGAAAAATCCTATACAGAAGATGTAGCCAATAGGACTGTAGGATGGGACACAGGCACATCACAGTGGACAAAGGCTACAGTTCCTCAGATAATTACCATTAGTGTAGATAGACATCTGTAAAATAACACCACAGGCAAAATTCTTGTTTATTTATCAACATATTCAAGCCAGCTTACTCAGCAAAGAAAAGGCAATTCTAAATCCTCCTCTGATCTTCAATGTGGTCAGACATAGCCTGGGGCCGTGTCTCCACGAAGGGCTTGAGTCTGGACCCACAATAAATCAGTTGCTGTTGCAGACGAGCAGCTGGCAGATCCTAATACTCAAGCACTTCATGACAGTACTGAAACCAGGTCTTTTGACCGAGTCAGTGCAAACCCAGGTTCCAGCATAGCTGAAAAACACAAGGCAGAGCTGCACTCTCTTCCTAAAAGAGGCAGACCACCAAATCCAGAGGGAGGAAAAGAAAGTTGTTTGTTGGCACTTTCAGGCAAAGTAGAAGCAACATAATCCCTGGGTCATAAGCATCAATCTGGTCAGTTATGGAAAGACTAAGGTTCTTCATGTTAGGTGGAGCAGTCTAGCATCACGGAAGTTTGATGTTTTGTCCAAGGGTAGCAGTACAGTAAACTATGGACTGTCCATGCACTATCCTTTCAGTTACTGATGATTTGGGGTACACGCTACCAAATCAATTCTCACAGCTAAATGTTCCCCCCTAACTCTCATTACCTGCAAGCTCCTCCCTGATCTTGAAGATGCTCCTTCCATTGGCTTTGAAGTTCCGCCTTGCTAGAAGCATTTTCCCTTCTGAGAGACCAAAGACATTCCCCTGATATCATCAGGCTGTAAAGCATGTGAGTTAAAACCCTGAATAGCTGAAATAAGGATCTGTCCCTGGAGGAAGATGAACAGGGTGCATACTTTGCAAAGGGCTCCACTCAACTAAGACAAGTTCTGATTTTCCCATAGTCCTGCAGTACCAAATATGGTAAAGGAATCCTGTGCATTCAATAAATAAGCTTAATACATGTCAAGCTGAAATGGATATACCTACTTATAAAAAGGTTTTGATTGATGGTCTACGTAGAAATCAGCTGCTTCTTTTCTGGAAGAGTAAAAAGACATAGATATAGATGTATAGATATAGATATAGATACACACATAGAGATATATAGACCCCCCTGAAAAACACAAACTATCTTCTGATTTTTTCTGGTCTCCATGATTTTGCTCACTTTGAGCAGCTCTCTCTACTGAAAGAAATCACCTGCATGTTTTTCAAATGACAAATTCCAAATATGAACAAAGGCATGCTTCTGTCATCTGCAATGGAACTTTTCACATCTCTCTCCCATTTGCAGTCCAGACTTAAGCCCAATATTGCCAGAGGAAAGTAACAACCTCAAGAAGAGTGTAAGTAGAATTTCATTTTCCTCACCTTCACAAATATTTGAACAGCCACAGCTTTCTCCAGCTTTTTTATCAAAATGACCACCTGCTCACTGGAACTGAATAATTCCTGGTTTGTTGCTTGCAGTTCAGTGTAAGCATGAGCCATTCAAAACTCAAAAGATTTGCATTCACCATGCAGCTAATATGCTTTCCTTCCATTTCATAACTAAAGCAGCAAAATGATTTTAAAATTATGCTAGTCACAGGAACTCTTGCTATCTCAAGCTTCAAACCTACACTCTGCAAATAGCCTGAAGTTTTTGCTTACAATTCACTCACCAGAAAATCCTCTTCTGAAACTAATTCACCAAATAATTTTGGAAAGCAAATATGAAAAAGGTACGCAAACAGATTAAGTATTATCACTTCTGGACGCAAAGAAATATTTGAGGGATATATTTTTGAAACAAATTGAAATCTACTACTCAGTTAAGAATTCCTACTGCAATAAATATAAAACTGCAGTTGTGCTGTATAACTTAGTACCTTTTTCATTTCATCTCTTTCATTAGTTCTCTGCTTTTAAAGAATGGGAATAATAGACTGAAGTGTCATATGATTAAATGAAGAGGCTAGAGAGCTGACCTACCAAAGCAGGTGCTTGCTCTCACTTTCATATCTTGGCTACAACTTTTACAGAAGGCATGAATCTATTTAACAGTGATTGCCAGAGAAATGTCAGTAACAGGCCCTTTAAAGAAAGCAGTAGATGGTGATGCTGGCTTGAAGAAGCATGCCCACAGAGATCTAAGGGTAGAAGACTTTGGCAAAGCCATAGTTCTATCAAATGGCACAGTCCCAAGAAACAGAGTATAGTACGCAGAGAAACCACAAATACTCAAAACATTATTTTAAATATAACCAGTAACACAGCCCAATCTTGTGGCTATTAATAATAATACAAGACAAGCAGAAATTTTTATATAGCAATAAAAGTTCAAGTCTCAAAGTTTCTTCCCTTCCATGTGAGTCAACTCTGAAGCACATGACTTGGCTCAACAGTTCTTCAAGTTCTCAGACAGACACTGAAATAAAGAAGCACCCAACACAACACTTCAGGATCAAATCTCTCAGATTGCAGGAGAGCACGTCAAAAAAAGCTGGCTTGAAAGACACAATGAATTGTAAATCAGCATTAGAAACCTGATTGAACTCACAAACTGGAGTTGTCTGAGGGAGGATCTGGGACCAGTATCATCAAACATTGCTGCAGGTAAATGCAGAGACAAGAGGAGAAAGTCACATAGTTGTTCTATCAGTATTTCAGAAAGCCAAAAAGGTTTTGAGGTAAGGGAAAATTGTTCCTGGTGTCATACAGAAACCAAAAGAACACATGAAAATGGTATTAGGTAAGACAGACAGCTTTTCTTTTCAAAGACACATTGTATGTGAACAGGCTTGGCAAAGCAGCAATGGAGAAAAAGTGCAGTAACATTGGGGAAGTCTTCTAGGGTAAATTAATTATATTTTCTTTCCTCTGCAGCATGCCTTTTTTTAAATGTTGTGGCTCAATGAGATAAGCGGAGAACAGTGAAGGTTGGAGGGGATTAGGAAGATGCATGAGTAAAATCTGTCCAACCCTGCAACAACATCAGAAGATCACTTGCTTTGCCTGGGACTTCCAGTCATTAAAAAGCAAACTGGTTTGGGTTTTGAGAGCACAAATAAAGACAACAAATTTACAGTGAGTGAACAAACCAACTACTTTAAAGACAACACTGTTATAATCGGCAGTATGATTTGTATAAAGAAGCCATGAGGTGAGGACATACAGACATGTCAGTAGTAAACACTGCTGAATTGCTAAAGCTATGGTAGTCACTTTGGATTCATAAGAGACATTACATATTTAATCACCCATACTAATTTACACAGAACTATTTAATACTTAGCTTAATTCTCTACACGGTTTCAGAAACCTACATGATTATGAAACTGATGAGTCTTCCCTCTATTACTCACTGGAATGGATTTGATGTGTGGAACAACACAGGATTGCTTCAGAGAACATTCTTAACTGCAAAAATATTTAGATACAGTAGTCTAACCTTAAAAATTACTTACCTTGAAAGCACCATCATTTTGGCCTTAGTTATTGTAAATCCTGCATTAATAATTATATCAATTAATTCTCCAATCTTGGGCATTGCATCAGGTTTAATCAAAGCCAGTGTTCTGGAAAAAAAAAAAGGAGAGAGATACAGCCAACACTACTTTCCTTAGAGCATTTGGTGTGCATGTTGAGTTCATATTCAGACAAAAACACATCACATCAAAGACAGAAATTCTGCCACAGTCAAACATCCTAGTCCCAGTGTCTCATCAATTTCCACGCTGTTCTTGAATGCCTGCACAAGGCATTATTCTGATAAGAACGAGCTTTGCACATAACAGTTTCCTTGGCTTTCTAACCCAAGTCATCCCACAGTGTTCCACCAGCAGTCATTATTTACTGGCTTCTCCCTTCACTCTCAGAGCAAACAACTTGACCACTTCTTCCTTAGCTAGCGTATATTGCTATAGCTACTCACTCACAGCTCTGGGTTAGGACACAACTGATCTGTTACTGTCTCCCTATGCTTGCTCAGCTCCCTTTTTTCCTGATATTAATCATTATATACATAAAAATGAAGCTGTTAAGATTCCTAATTTAAAAATACTACTTAAACATGTGCCTCTTCCATAAAACTCAATGTGAAATGATTGTTTTATTGTTATTTTTAAAATACTTGAAGGCCTCAGCAAGAAGAAGGTCCTATTGTGCTTGGTACAGTACAAACACTTCATGGTATACAATTTGCATGCCAAATAGCTGGCACGGTTAGTAGACACAATAAAAGGTTAGCAGAGGAGGTATTAAGTCTCTTATACTGACTGACAGCTATATTCTAAGGGAGACCAATCCAAAAAACTCTACATGCTCCCCCACATCTTTGTTTCCAAGTACACCCTGTCTTCTCGGTAGTTATCTTCTTATACTGTACATCCCAAGGCCAGGACTGTTTTATTAGTGCACTTTGCATAGCAAGTACACCATCAGCACTAAACATATTATTAATCAAAAATAACAAGCACAAAAAGAAGGTCTGTAAAATGGCATTTTCTATTTGCATTCATCTTGTGGTGAGTCAGCTTCAAATGTGCTCAGCTTACAAATCAACAGATTTATTCAACCCTGTATCTCAGAAACTCCACGTCTCTGACAATCCTAAAGAGCTCCTTCCATCTTTTATGCTGTTTCCAATAATGAAGACTACTCAAGATAGAATTTTTTATTGCAGTACTTCCCTAAATGAAAGGCAAATAATTGCAAATTTCTCATTTTATATACCGGCACAGCATGGAAAGCAGCCTTTAGGTTAGCAGCAATATATTCTAGCCAGGGCAAATATGCTGAGGTTACAGGAGGAGATGGATAAACTTCTACCACATTTACTTCGAACCTTAAGTGACCCCAGATTGACAGATCCTTTGGGAACAGACAGACTACCTATTTTATGGCAAATCTAAAGGAAGGGAGGTGTTAGGACCAGGAAACGTAAAGAGGAAGATTTGAACATATGTGACATTTCATCTAAAACTAAGGGAGAGACATAGGTGACCTTCAGAGCTCAGAAACAAACAGATTTCCTCAAGCATCAGGAAGCTCATACACATGGACCAGCTTAGGCCCAGATCTGCTGGCAAATATGACACAACAAGACTGATGGACAAAGGGTGTAGCCAGAAACAGCACAAGAGTAGTCAACCCAGCCTATGCTTCAGTCCTTGGCAGTGCAAACTGAAGTTGGTTTAGCCCTATCTTCAGGTCAGGAAAGGCTGACCTCTGGCCAACACTCAACACAGTTTGCCAGCATACTCCATGCAGCCTACAGCCCAAGGCCTGTTCCCCCCTTCCCCAAGGATTTCACAGCTCCACCTTGTTTTGTGATATTATTTATCATATGGCAGGGTGTGCCACATGCTTTGAGGCACACAATGGGGAGCAGCTGCGTGCTTGACCGATGACACGTACCCATCCGGTCATAAAATGCATGACCTGCATCCTGGCATAAGAGGTTCTCAACTCTGTCGTTTACCATGACCAGTAAGGATCAAACCACTGAAATGAGATCTCCGGTGCTGTCTGCATCTCTTTGAGGAATACTTTTTTGAATCTACATTATTACATGGGCTATTTGAGACAGACTACTCATGCAGCCATTACTTTTCGAATTTCAAGCTTTCTAGTAAAACTGTAATTCCTAACAATATGTAGTGAGATATTGCATTATGAAGCAATTTACCTGGAAGACATTAACACAAACTACAATGAGCAACTCTTACAACGTCTTTTCTCTAACACTGATATATAAACTTTAACATTTCAGTGTGAGCTTCTCAGAGGTATGCAGGATAAGAAAGTATAATTCAGGATGATGAAGACTCTTTCTGAGATTGGATTTTGATTCATGTGTCCTATTTTTAGTTTTAATTAGGAATATGTTTCTTGTGGTTTGACATGATGCAGCCTGCAAAATACAGTTTGAAACAGTTTTATATCTAGGAACAAAGGAGAAAGAATGAAAATTAAGCTCATCTGTTTACATTTTCAGAGGGACTGCATGACAGTATTGCAATGGGTACTGAAACAACAGAAGATGGGAACTGATCAAAGGAATGGCGCACAACGCATGCTGTGGCTATACTTTTGAGATCTACTTATTTTTAATAATAGGACTGTTGCATGTAAGGTATCTTATGTCTTGTAGGGGAAAAAACACTGATTATGTCAATAACTAGAAGCATAAGAATAACATATCCCAGACAAAAAATAATTTAAATATTTCTGGTTGAGATACAAGCTTTCTAACACCATTTTCAAAACCTGTGATATTAATATTGTAGTCACTATTTGTGACTGTTTCCTTATGATACACTGGGAGAGGAAAAGGGAAGAAGAACACTCAAATACAGCTGTATTTAAAAATTGACCCAAGACTTGAGAAAAACAGGCGTGGAAATCGAAACTCCATAGAACTGTCTTAATAATTTTAGCCTAATTCTAGAAAGGGTCTATGCAAATCTAGCCTCTTTTTACACATCTGTTTTGTACCTCATATGCCTAGAGTCACATTCACTTGCTTTACAGACAAAAAACAAAGGTCCCAAATTCAAAACATTCAAGATTTTTTACATATATTTCTCAGTTTCCCTCAAAGGCCTTTGCTGAGCCTGTCTGCATACATATTCAGTGAGCAAAGAACATATTTCCAAAGTTGAACTAAACTGCTGATAATCCTGTACAGCACAAAGGCAAGAAAAAGACAGGGAAACATTCTACCTCATACAACATCCTTGAAATTAATAGAATTCCAACTACAGATTATTTTAGGAACAGAAATCTTACTGTATCTATTTAATAACTGCTGTAAAACCTGCTAGAAACAGGCCCAAAAGACAAATACCTCACATGCAACTGTTTCGCCCAAGGACTCTTTTAATATGACCCTGTTTACCCAGTGAAAGCTTCTGTGAAGAAACTGGATTCTGAGGATCCCTTGCCTGTTTAAGACACCTTTCACTATGTTCCTTTGGGCTATTCTGAATATGTAACACCACTTGCATATCTATGTTATCTTTCAGCCAACATTCCTAAAATGTTTTCCAAACAGCTGACACGTCATAAATTCCCTTCCTTCCTTTTGTAGAGCAGTACAAAAATTCATGCCCTCCCAGGACCACTTCATTGACACAACTATAGTGTTGCTATATAGACGGTAACTTCCCTTACAAGAAGAAAATGTCATTTTATCACAAGCTGCCTGTTCTTTGTATAACTGCATCAGCACCAGGGCTTACACTAGTTTAGGTAGAGCAGGAAATACACAACTATAAAAAGCTACATTGATATAAAAACCATAAATAAGACAGATGTAATCTACCCAAGGCTCCACTGAGGAACAAAGAGAGTAGCCACATATACAGAAGCTGTCCTCTGCTGCTCTCCATCTCCTTTGCTACTCTTCCACCATGCCCAACCCCAGCTTGGTGAAAAATTACCAGGAGAACTCCTTCTGGAAAGATCTTATGCAGTCATTTCCACAGCAATGTTTTTGTAAGGTTAAGACAAAGATGTGTGTTAAAACTTGCAACTCTTCCTGTATCTCTGTTATGTACAACTCTCCAAAAAGAGTTCAAAATATGCGCAGTTAGTGGGAGGGAGCAAGAAAGTAGGTGAATAGGGCTCACTGGAGCATTATACCTATGAAAATATTCTGTGTTCTTTTCAAAAAATCTGGAGCAAATTATCAAAATTTATTAATTTCCAAATTCAGATATTACCTGCACTGCAGTCAAACCAGATTTAAATTCCTTGTGAATTAGTCTTATTGTCATTTTATTAAGTGTCTCTCCTGACATTTTGGGGTTTGGATGGGCTCCTAAAGTCTTTTCCAAAGCAAGTCTTTCAACCAAAAAGAGATGATGTCTTACCTTCATCCATTATAAATGAAATTTGTTTAAACAAACAAGCCTATAGGTTTTACTGACATTGTCACTCTATACTTCCTGTCCTCATGCACACATAGTTCAGGAGATGCTGAAAAAATTCTCATTAAAAAAATCCTCCATGGTGGGAAACACAATGGAGAATGAGAATAGGCGCCTCTCACTCCTGTTCCTACTGTTTTCAGTTACCACTACTAACACAGAGTAGATCTGACTGGCAAGGTGCTATGCTTCTGCACAGATCCCAGAGACAGGTGCTAGTTTTGCAAGATCCAGGCCTTTCAAGCCCAGCATGCATCAGGTTTACCATACCAAGTCTACCCCAAGAGAATCCCCAAATCACAAGAATCCTACTGCTGCCTGACCCATGGGAGTAACAAAGCTGAACAGGACTCCCTGTTTTCCTCCTCCCCCTCTTCCTTCCCAAGAGACCTAGAGGAGGCAGCAGTTGACACCATGGAGAAGCTGGCCTTGAAGATTTATCGGGTAACAATGCCAGTCATAGGCTTGCCCACAAGAGGCCAATTTGCTTCTCTCCAGCTATCAGTATGCCACTGATCACTTCAAACTTCATGCAAACTTGTAACTATCTTCTCCTCTCCCCATAGTACAGAAAACTTACCTCATTTTCAGCAAAGAACAACTACTATGAAAACCCAACCACAAAGGAAGATTTCAAAAAATGGGCTTCCTTACCTCTCTTTGCGGCTCCCCAGCTTGCGGGCTGTATATTGATCCCCATAGTCCACTAAGGATAGATGACGGGAAAAAACAGTAATTTTGTTTCCCACAAATAAATCCTCAAGGTGTAAACTCTCATACTTGGTGCGCTTCAGAAAGGTGCGACGGTTCTTCACATCATACTGCAGAAAAAAGATTAAAATCTACCATAGCAAGAGATTTAAGCTGTGGCCAAACTAAAGATAATTTTTACTCTACCTTCAGAAATTTCCACAGTACTGTGGGATTGAATCTGATCACTAAATTGATTTAATTCCTAACGCTTTGAACTTACAGGTGCAGCAGGAAAACTTAGAAGACTGCACCACAATCACAAATTTATTCCATTTAAATAGTCTCAGGCTGACAGCTATCGTTGCATTTTTTATTTTATCATTTGCTCGTCCTAATTCAAGCTGTGATAAATGGTTCAGGTGCCTAGTGGATACCTCTGCCCAGTCTCACTGAGAGTTCCCCCTAACAGATCTATGCTGTTTCACAGACCAATGGCCCATGCCAGGAATGATCAAGATACACGCTGTGGCAGGTCTCCTCTTCAGGGCATCGTTCCAGTGATATTATGCTTTATTTGACTGCGTAAGACTCAGAATTAGGGATGGATGGATGATTGCAACACTAGGTTGAGACGTTCTCACTGCCTAGAGCTGCAAGCTCAAAAGCCTGTCAAGACAATTCAGCTATATATCATCATTCCAAACAAGAAGCAAGATGTTAAATGTGTAGTTTTCTGGGTGGGTTGGCAAAGCACAAAAGGCAAAGGAAGAGTTTCACCCTCCTCAGGCCAAACGTCCCTTTCTCTGTATCAAATTACATGTACTGTCCTCCATTGCAATGGTATATAGACTGGAGCGGCACTAGAAGAATGAACACCTTTCCCACAAATTTTGGGGGCAGGGAAAATTAAGAGCAAAATTACATACTCCTCCATCTTCTGAAATGTGTGAAGGCATTTTTCTCCTGTTAGAAGGCTAGAAGAATTGTAAGGTTTTCCAGAATAGCCAAAACTTTGCAGATCAGAGAACACAAATTATTTTTATACTTCCTTCTGCTGAGGCAGGATTATAAGGAAAAATCCTTCTCTGCTGAAATGTCTTTAGCCCTCATATGTACTCCTATTAAGTGTCCTCCATTCAAGTGCAGTAGGGAATGAAATAACAACATGCTGAAAAAAATTACTTAAATCCAGCTACTTGTTTTTTCCTGGACTTTGCCAGGAAGCCTATTAACTGTCTTGACCATATTCAAATTCTTCAATATCTTGACTAAAAGTCTGAACATTTCCTTCATTATTTCACTAACAGTTGCTGTAAACGCACACCAAGCTGTTCCTCTCTTCTCAAGCAGAAGATAAAGGTGGGGAAAGAGGCATCTACCTGTGTTAAAGAATTCTTCTTTAGAGTGGAATTTTGGATCTGCTTAGAAGACCTTTTTATAAAGCGAATGATAAGCCACAGCAGAAGAAATGTAAAACTGTTTGGACTGTTCCCCTCCTGCCCACATACATGTAGAAGTAAATCACCCAAAACAAAATAGATCTCTGCTAAGAATCTGTCCTTTTTAAAGATTTCTTCTCTCTTTTTAGGAAATCTCCTGTAGAAAGAAAAGTTGTTCAGACTTTAAGAATTCCCCATGAGAGTTATTAACTATGGAAAATTCACGGGGCATCTCTTTGTCAAGAGATCCAGTTTGAACATAAGAGCTGCCTGCTTGGACAAAAACCTATGCTGTCTTCTTCCAGCTGCAAAGCAAGCTGGACGTTTGTCTCATTATTCCCACTGTCATTTTTCTTCACAGGAACCAAGACTTCACATAACACAAGCCTTCAGTAGCTCTGCTCCACCCTCAGCTGAGGTGTGTGATAAAGGAGAGCTGTTACCAGGGAGGTGGGAAAGAGGATGAAACATCTTTCTCATAAGCAGAGAGAAGCTGGCACATATTCATTACCTCCCTTCTCCTCAGATACATTGGAGGTAAGAGTGGGCTGTCATCTCCTCAGTAAGATACCCAAAGATGCAGAAGATTAGGCAGTAATAAAGAAAGAATCACCAAATTCTGCAGAAATTTAAAAAAAAAAAAAAAAAAAATCCAGAAGAGGATTCTAAAGCTAATATCTGTCCACAAACTCACCCTCAAAAGTGACTTCAAGATATTCTTTCTATAGAAGTGTTACATGCATTTTTGCTTTTTTAACTCCTGGCCTGGTCACACAGAGTTAATAGACACTCATGACTGTGTACGCACCATAGTATCTTAACCCAAGACCACACTAGCAAAACGCAAAAGTCTATCAAGCCATAGATATTTGATGCTGAATGCATTAAGAAGCTCAAGAACACCTTGAAAGCTGTTGGTTTTGAGACATCTAGGTGAAATGAACAACAATTTTGCCAGCCTACGCATGGTTGCATAGAAAGATTATTACCGCTCCTGACTGATTAGCTAAACTGTCTCTGGGAAATAAAAAATAAAAATCCTCGCAATTTGACAGCTGTGCACACACAGACATCATACAAAGAACCCACACCATAAAAGGGATGGCATCATGATAGAGTTTGTTTAAAGAGACTATCAGTAAAAAATACAAAGCGCATCTACTCACACAGGTGGGTACCATGGTTTCAGTGTGCAGTAGTTTGGGTAAGAAAAGGCAGATTCCACTAGCTTTTTTATTTCTGCATTTGATATTTATAGCAGGAAACCTAAAATTTGATAATGAAATTGTTAAGTGTGAATATCCAAATCTAGTCTATTCTCACACCCTTGGGTCTTCATTAACAATTGGAAAAGACTTATCCAAACCATTCACTGATTCCTAAAAGGAAGCGCAAAGCATTGGTTGGTTTATTAGGATTATCTTTACAGTACATATTACATTTATATATATATGCCTGCTACTGCAAAATGCTTGTTTTAACCTGCTATCAATAAACAGTTGGGATAGTTGTATGAACCACAAGTCAGAAAGGTCTGTGCAAGCACCACCGATGGAAAAAATTAGATCCCACCATCTGAAACATCCTTCCTTTCATTAAAACCAAATTAAGAGCAATTTACCATTTCCTCTACTTTGAAAAGACTCTCTTATATTTTACTCTTCAGAGACTTCTGGAATTCCTGCCAAAGCTTATTCCCCTGTTTGGAATCAGCTTCAATTTATGTTTCTCAAGCAGTACGTCAGTGTTGCTGAGTTTCAATTGTGAAACCCAAGTAGAGATTGAATGAAACCAGATTTGTGAAAATTAATCTCTTCATGCCAAAGCAAGCTTTAAGAAAAAATAAAAAATCATAAATGTGGAAGCTCTTCTACATGCTTCACTGTGAACTTGTATTTTTGCTTTTCTTTTGGTTTTAGAAACAGCAAGATATGTCTTAAATTACATTTTCCATACGTGGAAAATTAATAGGCATAAGAAGTGGCTCACCATTGTACAAACTGCTTAACTGGATATTACACTTATGACAACAGATTTTTTTTCTTTTATTCTTACCATTTCAACTGATCCATCTTTTGGATAATACAGAAGTTCATAACGCCGAAAGAGTGAAGCATTTGGGTCATACCATTCAGCAGTGAAGGCAAATCTGTCATCGTGACTCTGGAAAAAGAAAAGGGGTCGAAAGGGCTGTTACAGAAAGCATCCATGTTTTCTATGTAAAAATGCACAAGTAAAAAACTTCCTTGCATTTGTTATCAGAAAAGTAAAAAACATCACTAGCAAATGCACTTGTACACTCATCTTCTTTTTCAGTATCATCTTCTGCTTACCACAGCTGGGGACATCTTTTCACTTGTTAGCTATCATCTTTTAAGTATGATGGAAACAGCATGGCAGTCTTCCAGGCAATCTCAAAACTTATTCTGATTTCGTCAGTCATGAAATGTGGACTGTTGTAGAAGTTGTTAGACTTCTTAACTTTGTGAATGTATTTGATTTACTTTCCTTAGTTAAAAAAGAACATGTTTGCTCACAACTAAGTTACAGAATCTTAACAGATTTTGTACACAACCTACAAGAAAACACTTTCTTCTTCCTGAGCAGTCACATCTGAAATCCTGTTAATGATGAGATAAACAAATTCAAGTTAAGGACAACATTAGTTTGGTTCACTACTTAATTTCCTGAAATTGGTATAGAGCATAAATAGCCCGATCTCGTTTACAACTAATTTTCTCCCCCTAAAGAGTGTGACAAGAAATCTTGTCTGCAATAATTCTAAAACTGTAGCTACATGTGTAGCTTCTCTCCGCGCCTCATCCTTCAGAGGATAATCCCAGGAGGAAAGTAAGCAGAAAGGCGATGCAATGCATGTGGACGTGCAGTTCTAATGCCTCTTATGTTTGTTAGCTATTGATCCTGCAATATCAATTATTTGGCGGCTGTTAGATGGAGCTCTAAATTTTTATTTTCTGCACTTCCTCTAAATCTGATTGCTGCTCCTGAGGGTAAGCACGGTCTTGTCACAGGCTTCTGTTCTTTAGATGTATTGTACTCTTCTTACACATCTTAAACATTTAGGTACCACTGAGAGTTCAAGTTGAAGCCATGGGGGCCTTTTTAGACCTTCAGATTTTAGAAAACAGCAGCATTCCAGTTGTTTCAAAGACTGCTCAATAAGCAACAGGACAGAAAGTGCTCCCGTGGGCTTCCATGACTATTATGGAACACCAGCAGGAAAAGAATCATAATGATTCTCCTAGTGAGTGCAAGCCTATAGACATATAGACATTTAAAAACAACCCACAAACTAAACCAAACCAAAAAAAACCCCAAACAACAACAGTGATCTTGCTTTTGTTGTCAGTGCATTTTTTCTTTCAGCATGTCCAGCTTAAAACTTTTAGGACTAAGTGCTTTTCCACTTTTGTTTTCATTGCTACTGCTGTCGTTCTGGAGATATGTAAGCCAGAACAAACTCTTTCTTATGCCAGAAGTCATACCTTAATTTTGTATACAGGCATGTCATTGGCAATAAGCAACAAGTGTTGGCAGACAATAATAAATGACTGATTTCAACCTTGATCTTAAAACACTCATACTTCTAGAAGACAAGACAAAACATTTGATGAATTAATTTGACCATCATCTTGTCAAGGATGGATGTTATAGAGAAGCAGTTCTCTACCAAAGAGGTTGTCTAAAAAAAAAAAAAAAAACAACCCAGCCTTTTTCCTGCGTAATTC